CACACACACACACACACACACACACACACACACACACGCAAACACACGCCTGCCACACACACAGAGGCACACAGACACACATACACACACGCAAAGACAACCATACACACAAACAGAGACACACAGACACACATGAAAACAAAGGCCTGGAAGTGGTCCCAAAAGTGCTTATGGCTGACAAGCGCCTTTGACTTGCCTGCCACACACACAGAGGCACACAAACAGACACAAATAACGACGCACACACAGACACACACACACACGAAGAGCAACACACACAGACACACACGGGCACAGGGAGACACACACAGACACACACGGGCACAGAGACACACGGGCAAAACAAGTAGGCGCGAGGGGTGCAAGCAAGGGGAGGAGTGCAAGAAGAATTGGCACAGTGTCTTCTCGGGGGCAGCCGGCGTGCTCCGAAGGGGTTGTGCAGCAAAGGCGGCCACCGGAGCAGGATGAATTTCCCCAAATGGGAGAACGAGATGAGGATGAATATGTTTTAGAAGAAGGAGAGTTCGTGGCAGGAGAAGGCATAGGAAAGGAAGAGGAAGGAGAGGGAGAGGAAGGAGAGGGAGAGGAAGAGGAAGAGGAAGGAGTAGAAGAAGAAGAAGAAGAAGAAGAAGAGGAAGGAGAAGAAGAAGAAGAAAAAGAAGAAGAAGAAGAGGAAGAGGACGAGGAAGAAGATCCAATGGAGGAGGACGGCAGCTGGCAGAGAGAGTTCCTCAAGTCGAGGCCCGTTCGCAGCGACTTCAAGTACTTCTTTTGGGCCGTGTACGTCACAACTGGATTAGCTTATCTTCACGTCGAGACCAGCGGCAACGGTGTCTATGCACGAATCGGTGAAATTTTATTTGCAGCGCACGTGACGGAAAAATATCTCATCGTGGAGTTGTGGGTCGTTATCAAGGGCAAGCTCACTAAATGTCTATTGAAGGGGGATAAATTAATGCCCATGAAGATGCCCATCCAAAACAAGAAGTTGTTGGCATTAAACAAGACTGGTTACATGGTAAATGCTCTCATCTCCCCTAATTCCCACTTCATGTCTCTCTTCGCAGGAAGTTGCGCACTACCGGATACGCCATGAAAGTTATAGGCCTATAACTACCGGTAACGCCGTGGAAGTTATAGGCCTATAACTACCGGTAACGCCGTGGAAGTTATAGGCCTATAACTACCGGATACGCCGTGAAAGTCACAAGCCTGAACCTCCATGGCCTTTCCGAAAGTTATAGGCCTATAACCTCCATGTTGTTTCCGACAGTTGTAGGCCTGTAACTTCCACTACGTCTTCCTTGTTTCTGGGAAGTTACAGGCCTATAACATTGACTGCGTCCTCCTCGTTTCCAAAAGTTCGACTCTTTGAGGTTGCAGGCCTGTAATGTTTTTTCACATTTGCATTGTTCTATTGCACTTGTCGTACGCAGTGTTGCTCTAAGTATGTGTTATAGGCCTCTAAGTTTTTCTGACACACTTGGTTGACCATTGTTTTTTCTTCTGCTTCCAATGTGTTGCGCAGCTGTTCATGGAAGGACTTTCTGAGTTCTTACGGGCAAATTTGGACGAGAAACTTCTTCCTTTAAAGTATGCAGAGGAAGCAGAAAAATCACAAACTCCGACGACGACGACGACGACGGTCACGAAGGGTGGCTCGAGAGCGAGGTCGCAACGCCCCAAAGATGTGATTTCTCCTCAAACCATTGTCAGGTCTTCCGATAGTCTGGAAAGGGGATCGAGCATTAAGACGATTCCCGGGAAGATTCGCGGGAAGAAAATAGTCACACCGGGTCCGCCTCGTTCGGAAGGGCAAGGGGAAGGGAAGGGAAGGGAAGAGGAACTCCAAGTACCCCAAGGTTTCGTGCCGAACGAGCGCACAGAAGATTTGACAAAAACTTGGGAGGAGTTGAAGAGTTTGAAGGAGAAGAAACTTTCACACGAGTCCTTTTACCTGCCGATGAAATGTTTGAAGAGGCCACCCCTGGTGAATGGGAAAAGACCAATGGAGGTGAGAGAGATGGACGAGGACCATGTGAAGTCCATCATGGACTCCATGTTGAAGCAGCCAACTGGAGATCATCTTCCCTTCGTGGGCCTCATCGACCCTGCCCAGGCCGGGCGCAAAGAAGACGTGACCTTGACGAAACTGAGAGCCGGCGACTACGACATTTTTGTGCTTGGTGGTGGCCATAGTCGGGAAGCGAGGGAGCGGTTAGCACGCATGAAACCCGACAACGAGGAGTACCAGTACAATGTGTGCTATATTTACGTTGGCCTCACGATCGATGAGGCGAGGCAGGTTGCCCACAGGCATAACCTTGCGGCGGGTTACCACAGGGACTTGAGCTTCATCGAGAAGCTCAGGTGTTGGCGCCAAGTCTTTGAGAGCAGGGGGTGCGTCAAGTCGCAAGAAGTGAAGCTCGCTTGCCTGAAAGAAGCAGGGATTCCGAACGCGGCGAG